AGCCCCAACAGCCTTCAGCGGCGATTCAGCTGAACCACAGAAACTTTATTTTGGAAGTTTCCACAAGCCACCTGCCAGGTCTAAAATGGGAGCTGGCATGTAATGACTGAGGGTAGCAGAGGGCACCTCAGACACCTCTCAGGTGCAGAGGCCTCTGGTTACGCCTTCACGAGAGGATGCCCATGGAGGGCTAGATGTCCACCACAGCCACATCCCAAACCTGGGCTGTCATACCGCCCGAGTGGGTACCATGTCCTCCCTGCTTCACATCCCCCTCAAGCTTTGGTTTTCATGCAGCAGAAGCTGTGACACACTCGAGCTGGTCTTCTGAGGTGGGGGAGCAGGGACCATGGCTGTCGGCAATGCTTGCCATCTTGTGTGGGAACTGCCCCACGCTGCTGTGTGGTTCCTCAGGATCCAATGGGCTTCAGAGCGGCATTTGGGAAGCGCCGGGTGGCAGGCAGGATTCAGTGGGCTGCATAAACACCTCCCGGCAGTGGTCAGCTTGGTGTGGGAGAGACTGTGCTCCTTTGGGGCATAAGCCCTGACACAGACCACATGCAAGGAGTCAGTCACCCGAGCCAAAGAGAAATCACCTTTGGGTGGCTCAGTAAGTTTCGGCAGAGCTTTCCCTTGTCTCCTTTCCAAGCTGTGCTCTTCTGCTGTGCAGAGGATTCCCTTCCACCCGTTTGCCTCCATTGCATACTCTGGCAGACGCCGTCATGGACATCTTCGGGCTGCGAGCTGAGGCATTGCACCAGGGCTGGAGCAGATGGCGGAGCCACTGCTGACGCCTGTCTCAAGGAGCAGGCTGGTGGGCATGTCCTGCCGAGGGAATTCAGCCAGCACCCTGCTGCATCCGCCATGGACCTGCCTGGAGGATCCTGCCAACAGCTTGGGCTCGAGGCATGGCGTTGACCTGCGTTATGCACAGCTTGGGTGGCTGAGGGCAAATGAGACAGGGGAGGGAAGCGTCACTTGTTTCCATGGGGCCTCTGACTTCCACACTTATGACCAAAAGCTGTCTGCATCCCTCTCTCCTCCCTGGGAGGGACACTGGGCTATGTGGAGGGACAGACCCTCAGTGTGGACAGGGAGACTGCAGGGCACAGTGGGGCTGGCAGCTCCCTGGGGCCAGAGCGTGGGAGCTCCAGCCATGAGCAGAGCAGCCAGGGAGCACCAGGGCGGCTCCAGCCCCGGCCACCCACCTTGGGATGGGCCAAGGCCAGGACATCGGCCTGGGGGGTGGGCCCGGCTTAGTGCGGCCATGGCTGAGGGGAGCTGGAGGCTGGCACTGCTGCAGCATCA